ATTATATTTTCTTTTAAAACATATTTTTTTTTCATCAATGAAAATTAGAAAACTCCATACACAGTGTGCAAACATTTCAAAATCATGAGTTGAAAAGCGCTGACTTCGCGCGATTAAATATTAGAGCCTAACACAAAGCGGAGCGGTGATGCAATGCGTGAAGTATCCCTGTTAGCTTTGTAGGCGCCAATGCGAGTTTCGCGCTCTCTGCCCGCCCGCCGCGCCGCAGCGTGCCACGGCGTCTGAAGCAACTATTTCACACCGGGGTATTGCACAGTATCATAAAAAATGGAAGGCGCTCCAACATATTAAGAATGACAGGCATCCTTCAAAAGTAGGGAGCTTTCCTCGTAAAATAAATCAAGATACTACGGCACAAAAAGAGAGCGGTAGTCCAAAAACTAACCAAGTCCTAGTATCCGTAATTAGTAACGTTTAGCATAAACTTTATCGTCTGGCTGTTGCTTAATCGCCATCGGCTATAAAAGGCTATAAGAAATTGTACAGCCGGCTACAGAAGCTATTGGAAATCTTACAGCCGGCTTTAGGTCTATAGTATTTTGGAACACACGTTCTACTGCAAATTTTTACCAGGGAAATATGATTCTAATGTTTCCCCTTTTAAAACGTTATGTCTAGGTTTGGCTATAACATTCAAGTTCATCACAAAATGGGGTTGAGGAAAAAACATGGTTCTTCCTTATTCTGTTGTGTAACGCTGAGCGTGAAAAATTTATCAGAGGTTTCACAAGTTTGAACGGTTCCGGTCAGTCTAACTCAAGCCAGAGGTAGATTATTTAGTCATGTTTAACGCCTTGCGTGACACATCAAAGCTGAAATATCACCATTAAAGGCAGATGACGCACATATCTCTGTCTCACATGAATGGACGTGAAAATTTGTTTGACGGAATGCATGTATTGTAATTGGAGGCGCTTATTGATCCAAGATTGAAAAATCAAGCTTTAATTGATCCATGCTTTTCAAACACTGGTAAATTATTTCAGAGTGTTAAAGACAGCAAATGAAGAAGCTGCATGAAGTGCATCGAAAAGTAGCATTGGAAGTTTAATGAGGTCCCGGTCTGCAATGATTCATGGTATCATTGATTGAGGCGCGTATGAATTTAGAGCTTTTTTTGGAGGCGTTTTAGAGGCTCCGATAACTCCTAAAAATTAATAAATAAAGTGCCGAAGATGATAGTATTATTGACCACCTTTCTCCAGCAAAACGCAAAATAATTTAAGCCATTTCATAATTTGAAATGGAAGTAAAACATTCCAACTCCTCGGGAGAGATTCACCGGTAATTTTTTAAAACGAATTATATGATCGGACTTCCGATGTAATCTGAGCCTTAACCAATTGATTAAATAGAAATGTGACGTCACAAAGCAGGAAATTTAAAGAGAATTTTAAACCCTACACATGACGTGAAACTTCTGCTTTGTGTTATAGGGAGCCACCAAATTCAAAATCGCCGGGAACATGTTTCACTGTATCTGTGCAGTTGGAAGTCTGCGCGGCATCATCGACCAGTGCTAACAGGTAAGTTGACTCGAGTTAAGGGAAGCCAGATCTGTCTCGGAGGTTGTTTTTAAGGAATTAAAATACAAGAAAATGGAAAACCAAGGGTAAAAACAAACAGAATGCCTGGGACGAAACATAAGTCTATCACCGTAAAACGCTGTAACCTTGGTCCTGTTCTTTCCTTTTTTCCAAAAACTCTTACTCAGAATGAAGCATACGCTGGAAATAGAGTTCAATCATATGAATCGAAGTTTAATGTCCCGTATAGGTTGAACCATTCGATCTCTCAAAGTCAAATTTTAGTGCGTTGAATCGAAATCGACTCGTGTGACCGAATTTCATCGATCAGATTTGTTTAGTTGAAGAGTTCCTTCTCATGAATTAAATGTTCGGTGTGACTAATCAAAAGCTCAGTCAGGGAAAGCGATTAGTTGGATCAATATAAAAGTCCAGTTACACGATCAAATTGAGCCATCAAAATGGGCTTCTCATTGGTCGCGTTCAGAATGCGACCAATGAGAGGCCCAATTTGATCGTGTAATAGGACTTTAAGGAACACCGAACGTTCGGCTGAATGCGATCGGACTTATCATTTCTGACTGTGTAAGCTTCTTTTTGCGTGAGTGCCAGAAACTGCGGATTCCCAAAATTCTGATGGATGCAGTTCTCATTCACTAAACTCATTATATATTGACGGACACGAATTTCGGGCCGTGCGTCTTACATTCAAAACGCCGAGCTTCGTGACAGCAAACAAATGCAGCTTGTTTGCGACACTACTGGAGGCAAAACTTAGTTTTATGACGATATTTAACTGCGTTTGCGGAAAACTGGCGGAACCATTTGCGAAATTATAAAGAAAAACCTGACCATTATGGCTGATGGAGACTATATGTTTGCTTTTTCACAGTAAAAGTTCGATGGTAAAAGTGCCGAAGTGCGTACCTCGATTTTTGACGGTTTTGAGTTGGTTGTATAAATGCGTTGTTGAAGACATCGTCTATCTGCCAGCAAGAGATTATAATCGAAAAAAATCGGGAAGTCACCTTAAACAGTAGAGCTTTTTTCGCGTAACTCGGGCTTAGTGCAGAAATGCGTACCTCCTTCTGGCCCCTTCATTTGATCCGGTGTGCCTCACGCACAGCACGGGCTCCGCATAGCGTTTCCCGCCAACAGCATACATCAGCTCACCTGATCAGCTGTTCTGTTCTGTGTTTCTATTTATTTTCAAGAATTCGCTGGTTTTGAAAAGTTGCTAAATGCTCATCGCTCGAGGGCCCTCCATTATCATTTCCCCATAGGTACCAATTACCAAAAAAATAAAAAAAATTGTTTCCCCTGACGGCAAATCGCCAAGATTTTAGCCATTTGTTGTTTATATTTCATATTAATTTTCTTGTAAATAATCTTTTATTTGAATATAAACGGCAACTATCTATCTATCTATCTATCTATCTATCTATCTATCTATCTACCTATCTATCTATCTATCTATCTACCTATCTATCTATCTATCTATCTATCTATCTATCTATCTATCTATCTACCTATCTATCTATCTATCTATCTATCTATCTATCTATCTATCTATCTATCTATCTATCTATCTATCTACCTATCTATCTATCTATCTATCTATCTATCTATCTATCTATCTATCTATCTATCTACCTATCTGTCTATCTGTCTATCCGTCTATCTACCTATGTATGTATGTATCTATCTATCTATCTCTATATGTATTTATACAAAAAAGAAAAAAAATTGAGCGGTGAAATTAGTGGAAAGTGAATCATTTAACCAATTTTCGATTTGGTAATGTATGTATGTATCTATCTATCTATCTCTATATGTATTTATACAAAAAAGAAAAAAAAATGAGCGGTGAAATTAGTGGAAAGTGAATCATTTAACCGATTTTCGATTTGGTAAAAGTGTCAGATATTTCAGAGTTTGCGATCTCCAGTGGTGTGTAGGTATAGCGGTTTTTCTTCGCTTTTGAGGAAGAGAAAATTTTCCAGGAGCGGGCGCCACGACGGTGAAATAAATCTCGCCGTCACTGGTGGCCGTAGCCGTAGTTTATGTCCGAAGGCAAACTTCGAGCCGGGGCTTGTGCAAAGAGCGCCGCGCCGCACAGTAGATCCAATCAATAAGAGGAGGTCGGACATGAAATTTTTACTCAAACTGTGAATTTTGATGTTTATTCCGTCACATTGTACCTAAACTTTCAGGGATGCTTCTTGAAGAAAATGGAGATGTTGCATGTGTGAGGAATTTGCGATTTGACTGTTGGTTCTTACGTAAAAGTTCGCAAGAAACACGATGATGCCACTGGTTTTCTCTGAAATCAACTTCCAAGCTCAAAAAAAGCTCTCAAGTTGAGGCTAAAATGGAGGGGACATCCCACGCTACCCTGAGAGTCCACCTTTACATCAAGACAAACTTTCTATGCAAAGATAGGGAGCAAATACATTGACGGGGCTGCCACTTTATTTGGGGACTCCAAAACTGAAATCACAGCATTACTGCTAATGTATTTGCTCCCTATCTTTGCATGGAGAGTTTTAGCGGCTCTGGTGCTTGCACTAGAGCTGCTATTCCGGACGGTCCCAGCTGGGGAGTATCAACGGACCATGTTACATTGGAGAGACCGCGTGTTGGTTGATGGGAATCGGCGCCATTTTCTGCTGTTAAGGGGGGACTGATATTATTTTAATTGATATCTTTTTCCTGTGAGCGAATGCCATGTTGTGTAGTGTATTTTTGGAATCATGGTGATACTGTCAATAATTCAAAACGGGTCTGTGCTTTAATCTCGCACTGGAAAAAATGTACTTTACGTTTAAAATTTGAAAATTCAAATCTATAAGTTTTCGCGCTTTTTTCGAAGAATGCCGTGGTTGGAGCTTCCTAGTCATACTACTCGACATCAGCTGATAGCAAACAAAGGTTACCAAGGAAACCGTAAACGCGTAACAACTACCTACCGTCGCCAGAGCCGCTTTCCGACGCGAATGTGTTGGAGCTTCCTGCTTGTTTTTTTATGTAGAGGTGGACTGTCAGGATGGCGTGGGATATCCCTTCCATTTCGGCCTCAACTTGAGAGCTTTTTTTGAGCTTGGGAGTTGATTTCAGAGAAAACCAGTATCACCATCGTGTTTCTCACGAACTTTTACAAGGGAATCAACAGTCAAATCGCAAATTCCTCACACATGCAATATCTCCATTTTGATTTTTATTCCGTCACATTGTAAACTTAAAGGGATGCTCCTTGAGGAAAATTTCAAGAAAAAACCAATGGAACCACTTTCAGAACCTCAAAGTTTCTCATGAACGGAGTTATAAGCGTTTAAAGTTTCCAAATTTTGTCCGACTTCTTCTATTGACTCGATCCACTGTGCGCCGGGCTTCGGCTTCAGGCTGGGCTTCGCAAGTTTTCCACGCCGATCGCGACTCCCAGTCTCGCCAAGCCGCGGATTCGCGAACCCACACGCCACTCGGCCCAGTCCCCCAGTCATGGCTGTTTAACCTCAACCGGCTGTCGTACCGCAAGCTCCCTGGCCCAAAGACACGCGCTCAGGCCTCCCCGACTCCAAAGTTCCACACAACCAAAGCTCCACACAACCAAAGCTCCACACAACTAAAGTCACAAAAAAACCCGATCCAAAAACTCGCGGCTCCGCGGATAATCTCCCTCGATATTCTAACCCCCAAAAATAAAACACCAGTTGTTTTGATAGTCCAATCAAATCGGAGCTTGAATTATCAGGTTCCCACCTTGGTGTGTCTGTTTATTAGCCCCTTTTCTATGCGTGTCCCTCCCCTCACCACCGTGGCTTCTTCCCGATTTTGAAGGAGGACTACCTGGAAGTTTCTACAGAGCGCTTTTTGAGATGGAATACGATAACGAGTGCACGTCGTTGAGACACGAGGAGAATTCTGCTCGAATTGTGAAAGGGTAAGTTTTTTTTTCATTGGTTAGTTTGAACCTTTAGTGGATGGAGGAGCAATAGTAATATTCTTGAGCCCCCAATAAAACTAATTAAGTAGTGAAAAATTATACTGAATTTTATAGTGGCTTCAAGACGAATGTGACCATTGACGGGGCGAGGGCGATCTTAGGTAGTATACATAGTAATTCAAAATTGAGTTTTTAGCATCAAAACGAAGAGGAGTGTTCGACGAAAATGTTGGCATTGAAAACGAACAATGGCGATTTGAAAGTATCTCAAAAACGTAGTTTCGAGGAAGTATTGTTTAAAATTCTAATCTGCTGTGTTCAAGGCGAAAAATTGTCGGGTAATAATGCGATTTTACGCCTTCTACCGGTGTAGGAATGGAGTATATTTGAGAAACCACAGGGAGTGTTCGTGAAAATCTCAACACCCACTCTTTCAACATAATTTTATGAAAATCGCCCCCCCCTCCGAAAAAAAAAATTTTTCGTGTCATTTTTATGGTAGACGGTCACAAATGAATATACTATCGTTGCTGGAATAAAAGTTTTTGAGATGACTGTTCTTACTGCATGATTCAATTTTAAACTGTATATTTAATAATCACTAATACTAACCTTCCTCATTTACGGGAGGCTTCAATTACAAAATATATTTGAGAAATTTCAACCAGTCAGTTAGAATCTTGACCTAACCGTGGAGGCTGTGATCAGGGAACGTGTTGTCGGGGAAACAAATTCTTTTGTGGAAAGCGCCTAGCAATCCCCCCTCATAATAACGGAGCCTAGACATTTTTCCACGCTTTGTATTGAAAAAAGTTTCGACAGACTTGTATACTCTTCCCTCTAGAATAGGAGCGAAATGTACCCGTGAGTGATTCAATGGTGACGCTTTTCTTCTCTCATATAAAATATCTGAAATTTGGGAAAAGGAAAACTTTGCTGAGGACGGCTGTCCTCTGAATGATATAAAGATAAACAAATCTCCGAAATGGGTTCCCAAAGCTCTTTAATTCAGTTTAATCTTCGTGCTGATATTTAATTTAAAATTGACGTTCCCAATTGCTGTGCCAAGCAAAGTAATTGACAAAAGGAATCCTCGGTATCTTGTGCATTTATACGATATGCACGAGATTTTAAAGATATTTAATCATGCGGTATCTTCGGTGTAGTTCATCGAGAGACTAGCCGCACGCTCTTGTATAAATATTCGGCGCGCCTTCATTTTCTCATATATACAACACGGACATTCATAAAGCACGAATAGTTGTATTCAGGCGCTGATATTCACTAGCCGGCGTGCGTGGTGGTTGCCGGTTAGGGCAACATTCGAATACATCCACTTTTCGGATATAGTCTGGTCTTATTGCTGCCAGCATGAAAATCAAATGGATNACAAAAAAAGGTGATAAATTTGTATCCCTTTTTTAAATTATTTTTTTTTGTCTATAATTTTCGTTTTTCCGGTAATAATGTTGAAGGGAGGAGAAACTTACAATTTATATTCAGGAAATTTGCTTGGCGTCTACTTCATTTGATATCATTGCTTTTGAGGCGACGAATATTTATATTTTTAGCTTGGCGGGTCATTTTTACACGGAAGTGTTTTTGGTGTGATTGCATTTTACAAAAAGGAACCAAGAGCATTCCAATGTCGCTCTAGTCGTGCCATTTTTTTTTACCTAACGAATATGAACTGATCATCTAAACAAGTCTATGTTACTCCTAATAAACTATAATTTCAAGATGAAAATTACCCTGTAGATTTGATTTTCTGCAGGTATTCAGTAATTTTATTGCAAGGAACGCAAGTTGCACAATTTTAACAACATTGGATGGCTCTTGGTTCCTTTTTTGCAAAATGCAATCTAAATATTGTAGCCGCACCGTCGTCGTCCAGAGGGAATTTCGTTTTGTTGTAATGGAGGTTGGCAGTAGGTTAAAAACTCTCTCCCCGATGTAGTGTCTTCCGACGGTCCCGTGGCCTCTTCCTCGGGACTTCCGTAAACGCCTCTATTTTATGTGTGATATATATATCTGTAATGTAAACTTAATTAATACTTNCGTTTTGTTGTAATGGAGGTTGGCAGTAGGTTAAAAACTCGACCAACTCAAGTCGAGGAAATTCGGCTATGGAGACCTTTGGAATCTGTGATCTGTACGTCTTTGGCCTGAAGAATTGTCATACCTTAACACCAGTGGCGTGGCGTGAATGGAGATGTTGCATGTGTGAGGAATTTGCGATTTCACCATTGATTCATATGTAAAAGTTCGCGAGAAACACTATGGTGCCACTGGTTTTCTCTGAAATCAACTCCCAAGCTCAAGAAAAGCTCTCAAGTTGAAGCCAAAATGGAGGGGATATCCCACGCTATGCTGAGAGTCCACGTCTACATCAAGACAAACTCTCCATGCAAAGATAGGGAGCAAATACATTGACAGGGCTGCCACTTTATTTGGGGACTCCAAAACTGAAAACACGGCATCACTGCTAATGTATTTGCTCCCTATCTTTGCATGGAGAGTTTGTCTTGATGTAGACGTGGACTCTCAGCATAGCGTGGGATATCCCCTCCATTTTGGCTTCAACTTGAGAGCTTTTTTTGAGCTTGGGAGTTGAATTCAGAGAAAACCAGTGGCACCATCGTGTTTCTCGCGAAGTTTTACATATGAATCAATGGTGAAATCGCAAATTCCTCACACATGCAACATCTCCATTGCGATATAGCAATTGTTATGCCATTTAAACCTATGGAAAAGGATCGATAAACAGGGTGTTCGTAGCGAACACCTTAATAATCAATTCTTTACTATAGGTTTAAATGACATAACAATCGATACATCGCAATTCACGCCACGCCACTGCTCAAAACTAAGCTTTACGTGCTTTACTTTTCAATTTTGCACGATCAACAGCTATCAGCGTCCATGCAGAGGGAGGAATATTTGTCAACGTTCTTGAATAGTTGATAATCATTCTGACATTCCTAACACCTAGCTGTGTTTGAAGAGAAGCAAAGTAATCATGTTAAAAGGTAATAATTTCCCTTAGATCAATTGGTCAAGGGCAGGTTAGCGTTTTGATTATTTGACAAGTGGAGTTGCCAAACCGGTTAACCAGTTTAAACTTAAGTCTGATGCATTTTACGGAAGGGGGGGGCGGGTTCATGAGNGAGATTTTGTTAAATAGGTAAATGTGTAAACGACTAAGAGTTCCGTTCTTTGGTCCGCTTGGGGTACTCTATGACAGAAATGGAAACTGTCGTAGTGTGATATTTTCTTTTTCCACTGAAGAGGGGAACAAAGAAGAGCTTTTGGAGGTTTTTGGCAAGAGGATGGTGACTTGCCCGGAGTCTCTTTACCCAAGTTTTTGGGTTTTTTGGAGTTTTAAAGCTTTTAAATAAAACTTCTTTCCCGCCAAGGAAAGAGTGACTAATGTAAAAATTCCTTCGTTCAGTAGAAAATGATTTATAAGGAATGAATCTTTAAGGAATCTTCATCTGAGGACGATATGGTAATAATGAGACCCTGTGTTTAACTATACCTCCACCCCTCCCGTCCATCGGTCTCCTATCGTAGCCTCTTTTCGTCGTTTCCCACAAAAAGGCATAACGACGGTGAAAGTCGGCAATCACATAACTCGGTTTGCGACGTCGCAGACTTCTTGTCATACTTTATTTTTTAAATGGAAAACTACTCAACGGCAATTCTTTAAAACTGTCATGATTGCAAAAACTTCAAGAAATAATATCAATTTGTTCTCCTTTAAAAAAATGACGTAGAGGCGGAGATTTTCAGACACCGCAAACGAGTTATGTGATTGTCGACTTTCACCGTCGATAAGTTCATTTCAATGTTGCCAAATTCCCCTTTGCAAATTGCATTTTCACGAGGACAATCCTGAGCATTTCCAACTGAACATCTCACTCATTTTTCTGCTAATCTCATGCAAAAGTCGGGCAAATTGTAGAAAAGTTCAACCAGAGAACAAATCCGTAACCAGCAGGCCTAAACAACTTTTCTCAGTCACTATAACGCCGTGCTAAGGAAAAAGGCCGTATGAACAATCGAGAGTTGCCAAATTTCCTTCGATAAAATGTTCATTTTTGAGGAAGGTTATGACTACTTTTCCTTGAAATTTTCAGGAACTTTAGGTGACATTGCGAGCAAAATTATCTGAGAAATCGGACAGAAAATATTCATAAGTTTACCAGGAAATTAGAGTTTTATTCAAACAAATTTGGCAACGCCTGGAGGTTCATACGGCGTTTTTCCTTCGCACGGCAGTGTATCACGCGTCGGTGTGTTAGGGTCAGGCTGAATGAACTCGCGCCATTATCGTCTCTCCAGTGACTTAAGGACGTAAGTACCTCCATCTCTAGGTTAGCCCTTAAAAGCATGCAGTTATACAGGGTGTCCTAGGATTAAATACGAATATTGAGGGAGTCGATTCTTTTGGTCAAAAAAAGACGTTTTTGTGGTATAAATTTTTTCCCTAAAACGCTTTCCCTGGGCGCCACGACTTTCCCCAAATTGGAAGGAGATAATCGTCTTTTTAACACTGCGGCAATGTTTATCAACCAATATTGATGACAATTGGTAACTGGCAGTAATTTTTAGCGTTCTTTTCATTTTTGACCTCCATAAAAGGTAAAACTCATTTTTAGGGGGGTTTACGGGGGGTACCGAACCTAAAAGAGGCCGATATTAATGTTTCTAGCGACAAAAATTGATTTTTGACGGCACCACAAGATACAGCGTTGAAAAATATGTTCAAAATGTCCCCTGCGTTTTTTCGCTTTAACTCATCATTATTTATATAATTGGAACTAATAGGGAAGGAGCTGATAATAGGAGGATAATGGGGCCCCCACGGAAAGCGTTTTTCGAAAAAAAGTTGCACCACAAAAAAGTCTTCTTTTGACCCAAAGAGTCGACTCCTTCAATATTCGTACTTAATCCTGGGACACCCTGTATGTTCATTAGAGTTGAGCTAGCAAATC